AGTCCTGAAGATGATAAAAGTTGGTGATCAGTCATTCTGGTGAAGAATTTGAGTATACAGTCGCAGCGAGGATGGGGAGGGGTATTCAAAAATTTGCCTGTCTCACCGGGCGCTTCCACCATTATGGGCTCCCGATCGAGGGGTGCTTGTTATAATGGTAAAACAGACGCGATCGAGATCGGGAGATTGATAACTACCGCCTCAGATCTATTACAGTCAGGAAAACGTGAAAGGCGTTTACAATGTGATTGAAAGATCAATATTGAAGGTATCAAGTACGCGATTGAAAACAATTTAGTACCTGCTCCTGCAGCTTCTGTAATCGCTCTATCTCTTCATTAAGACGAGCAACTTCACCAACATATTCCTTGAACTTCTCTGACTTTGATTTCGCGGGATGGATTAAAGGAACCTGAAAGTAAAGCTTTGTGAAAAAGGGCTCGGCGTTGTATGAGCAAAACCTTTGGCAGAGGAAGAGCTTTGATCTTCTTGGCAATAGGCGTTTTATGGTTAGTCTCCGGAGACAAAGAATTGTCGCGAGTAAGTCCTTCTGAACCTTTCACGAGTTGCTAAAAAACTGATGAATTCTGAGAATAGGTGCTCCAAGGGGGGTAAGAAGTTATTGTGCAAAGACCAACCGAAGTACCATTTTCTACCGGAACAGCCTGCGATGTTGAGCTTGTCGATGGTTGTTCAGCACTCACAGGATAAGGAGCATAGGGTGGAGGCACGAAGATTGCTGGCGAAGAATTCGACGGAGACGGAGCAGGCGCATAGCCTGTGGAGAAATTTTCTCGCTCAGCCATTAAAAATACCTACTACCTGAGAAGGAGTCGCTGCCAACTGCTCCCGGCTCTTCGGGAGCGTATTTTGAAGAAAGGCTTCCATAACCGTTGCATGGGATGGTTTCGATGGCGGCGTGAAATGTTTGGTTGTTCGACACCATGGAAGGAGCTGAGGGAATATGAGGCAGATAACCAAAGTCAGTTATAGAACAGACTCCAGAGGCGCTTATTGGTGCATCACCGATCGGAACGGCACCGGACCTGGCAAAGTAATGATACTATGAGTTTGTGAATGAGTATCCAAGAGTCTGCAAGCACATAATGCGCGCATGCAATCACTCTTTTGATGAATACCGCTCAATCAAAGCAGTGGAAAGTGAGGTAAACTCACATTCTATAAGGGCATGGTGGAATAGGAACAGCCTGGACTTGATGCGAGTACGTGGCTGGATTGCCTTCTTCGCCCGGCTCACTAAAAAGTCATCATCAAAGCAATACCGATGATACCCTCAGATTCAATGGGATTGGCGTCTCGAAGCGACTGCTCGCGCCAGTGACGCAGTCTGCGTCCCTCTCGCGAGCGTGCTCTCTGATCATTCTGTAGCCTTGACTAGGCCTCGAAACTCCCGCCGCCGACAATCTCATTAAGTAAAGGGTTCTCATGACCATACATCTCATAAGATTGCACAGCGTAACTCTTGCATATGCTGCATAAGCTAGTAATTCGATAGGAGACATATATTAACATCAAGAGCTTGTTCTTCATCACATAAATCTGAAACTTGACCCAACATATTTTACCTTGAAAATGCAAATTTGTAGTCTTG